CAGAACACTGTTACCTTCCCACCGAAGCGGCATCTATTTATCTCCTTGCAATTTCTAGCTTTCGAACTGCTAGGTTGGCAGGAGCTGGGGCCAGAGACAGGAGCTCACTCCGTCGTGCGGCACTCGGGTCTCAAACTGCTGAACTACCCTTCCGGTCCGCAGTTCAGTGCCTTAACCACTGAGCCACCGCGGCTCCTTCTTATAAATGACCAAATGAGGTGTGATGAGTTTGTAAGCCGCTCTGAGACTCCTTTGGGTAGTGGAAGGCGGGGTATAAATCCAGTCTCTTCTCGAGCCTGGGGAAGGCAGGGTTTGGGGTGGGGAGGGACCTCAGCAGGGTATAATGCTATAGAATCCACTGCCTAAAGCAGCCATAAGAACATAAGAGACACCAATGTTGGATCAGGCCAATGGCCCATCCAGTCCCACACTCTGTATCACACAGTGGCCAGAAATACCAGTTCCATCAGGAGGTCCACCAGCGGGGCCAGGACATTAGAAGGCCTCCCGCTGTTGACCCCCCCAAGCACCAAGAAGACAGAGCATCACTTGCCCCAGAGCCCCTATCTATACCTTGTGGCTAATAGCCACTGATGGACCTCTGCTCCATATGCTTATCTAATTCCCTCTTGAAGCCGTCCATGCTTGTAGCTGCCACCACTTCCTGTGGCAGTGAATTCCAAGTGTTAATCACTCTTTGGGTGAAGTACTTCCTTTTATCCGTTCTAACCCGACCGCTCAGCAATTTCATGGAGTTCTTGTATTGTGAGAAAGGGAGAAAAAGTACCTCTTTCTCTACCTGCTCTTTCCCATGCATAATCTTATAAACCTCAATCATGTCACCCCTCAGTCGTCGTTTCTCCAAGCTAAAGAGCCCCAAACGCTTTAACCTTTCCTCATAGGGAAAGTGTTCCAACCCTTTTATCATTGGAGTTGCCCTTTTCTGCACTTTTTCCAAAGCTATAATATCCTTTTTAAGGTGTGCTGACCAGAACTGCACACAGTATTCCAGGTAAGGTTGCACCATTGATTTATATAGGGGCATTATGATATTGGCTGATCTGTTTTCAACTCCCTTCCTAATAATCCCCAGCATAGCATTGGCCTTCTTCATTGCAGTCACACACTGTCTCGACATTCTCAGTGAGTTATCTACCATTTTCTCCAGAACTGATCTCTTAAATCTTAAGCTGCCATCTGGAGGCTGGTTTGTTGAAGGACTTCAGTGAGGTAGGCAACCATTTTCTTCACAGGGACTGATATCTGTTGTCTGGAGATCAATCAATAGATTGGAGGCAGATGTGGGAGAAAAATACTAAAATGATTAATGCTATAACATATAAAGAGAATATGTACAAGATGTTTTATAGATGGTATGTTACACCTGATAGACTGGCTAAGCAAAATATTAACGGTTCTGATAAATGTTGGAAATTTAAGAGTAAAAGGGGCACATTTTACCATATGTGGTGGCCATGCGATGTTACTAAAAAGTTTTGGAAATGGGTCCCTAGTTTGATGGAGAAGATACTAAGAGCAAGGATTCCATTTACTCCAGAGGTCGTGCTGTTGAATATATTTCCAAAGGATTATGAAAAAGAGAATAGGTATTTGACGACAGCTGCAAGAATCTTATATGCCAAATATTGGAAAACTATGGTGATACCAACGAAACAGGAGTTTGTGAATAAACTTTTTGAAACAGCAGAAAATGATAAACTGACTCTAGAAATGAGATTAAGTAAAGAGTGGACATTTCAAAAAACATGGAAAAAGTTTTATGTTTGGTATAATGCAAATGTAATAGAAGATTAGGCAAGGATA